GGGGGGGGGGGGGGGGGGGGGGGGGGGGGGGGGGAGGGGGCACATGGCTGGGTTCGTATAACATGACAGTGCTGGTATAACAAAGAACTGACACGGCCTAACGTGTTATTCCGTGTTATACGAAAAAAATGTAGTTCCTACAGAAGCTCCACGAGGGAATGAGGGAAGGGGCAACGGAGTGGGAGAGTTCATTGAACATTCAATTGTTACCGTAATCCAGCTTTTCGCATGGGGTAATCATTTCACCCACCTCACCCATCCTCTGTTCATCCCGTTCATCCACTAATGAGGTTAACCTTGAAAACTACATTCCCATGGCTAAAACCGTATAGGAATGTGCAAGCGGTCAGCTTCCACCTCCTCCTTCGTCCCTGACACAGTGTTCTCACAATAGCTCAAAACGGAAGAACGCCTGACACCGGGCTAATCTCTTGGGTGAAAGTGTATAATAGTTGGTGGTGGTGTGCACATATTACAGTGTTGGTATAACGAGGAACTAAGGCGGGACATTGGGGTACGGTACATTCGTGCGATTCGAGCTGCGCGGCGAAGTTCGTGGCCTTCCGAACACCCCTGGCACCTATTATTGGGGCACAAACTTGAAGTAGAGTAGATTAGTATGGTCGGCTAATCCTACTAATCTACTTTACTGCGAATTTGGATACCAATAATAGGCGCTAAATTCGTCAGAATAGCTATGAATTTCGCCGCGCAATTTGCCGCGCGCAGCTCGAATCGTACGAATGTACACACACCCAGGCGGCATTACGTACTATTCCATGTAGTCTGCGAGTTTTCATTTCTTAACGGGAGGTAATTATCTCACCCAGCCCGGGGCTCCTACCCTCCTGAAGCGTAGCGTAGGAGGAAAAATTAAGCTCCCTGGCCAAAACAGCATAAGAGCGCACAAATAGCCGAGTCCATCCTCCTCTTCGTCTCCGATACGGTGCTTATATAACAAAAGTTAACACTAGTTCATTTCTTGATATACTAACATTGTGATCGGTGCTCCCCCAACTACATTTTCATCCTAAGTGCTCGTTTAGGCTACAGTATGAATCTTTCATAGGTAAGTAACAATGAACTTGTACTGCGAGTAAGAATGAGCGCGGGGTGAAGCCCACCTTCTCGCGCCCCTTACCATTTACTTGGCTGATTCCCCTCTTCTCTTCTAGAAGCATTGTTAGAAGGCGTTTTCTTTTTTTTGGATTGCGCTCGAAAGAAGATCAAAGGACGGCCTTTGGGGAGGGAAGTCGAGTTTCACAGTGACATTTCTGTTACCCATTCAGAGCGCTAAGGACTTACCAGATCTCGTGTTCACTGCCAATGCAGCCGTAGTCAGAGGCAAGCAAGTGTATCTGGCAAACTTCGCCCTCCAAGAGCGAAAAGCAGAATGGAAAATCAACGATGAATGGTTCCGGCAAAACGGATTCAACACTTTCTTCAACGCAACTATACCTCATGAAGGTAGGAACCTCACTTCTAGTATGGCTTGTACTAGCGCAATAGGTGCTGCTAGATGTAGTATACGAAAGGCACCTCGAAATAGACCTTTACGTGGATCTGCACGACAAAGAGGGCGATGCTGAGTCATAAGCCACCTCCAGGGATTACTAGTTTGGCTTCGACGTAACTCAGTTGAACTGAAATCGTTTGTTGCAACCGTTTCGCCCAAATGTACCCTGTACCGGATGGTATGTTGTAAAGGCGATTTGTTTCTCGATAAACCGTCATCGCAAGTTTGCAATATGCTCCTACGCTCGACATAGTGGGTGGGAGGAGGCAGGGTGAGAAAAGAAAGAGAAAATAGCCAAAGAGTTAGGTCCCTTGTTGACATTACAATCACCTAGCTTTTCAGAATTATCTTGGAACTACAACAATTATTTGATGTAAGCAATTTGCTGATCATCAGAATCCGTTGTCATCATTTAGCTTCCATTAGGGAATTCGGACAGCGGCCAGTCGGGTAGTACACGTTTTGAGGTAGTCATACCCAAACTCCCCTGTTCCAATACTTGCCGCTAGCGCGTTGAATACCCGCTTGACGTTCCAACTGTTGACTTCTGCCCTCCCTGTTACCTTGTATTCCTTCTGCTTCGATGATGAGCTTCCTCATCTCTTCATATTCAACTCGAAGACCCAAAGATGACATTCTGGTTGCGCAGTCGCGCTGATGCTGTGTCATCATATCGAAGACCTTGTTCATATCAAGATAATCTCCCATTCAAAACCATAATCTTGTGGGCTAAGTTGCTGGGGTAACGTAATCGATACACATCTATAATAATACATCAATTGTTACTAAAGTCACTGTAATGCAAGTGTCGACAACCGAAGTTTATTGAGCCAATCTTTGATAGCTTATCTGAGGACGGCTCGACGATCGCCAATGTAGGTGAAGGTCGTGCAACAGCGTATGAAAAGGAAAGACCTAAAGTAATGACCGGTCACCAAGTAGCGGTACAAGCAAGGCGAGAAAGACCGAACTTTACTTTCTGATCGAAGATGGTGCAAAAGGAATCCGATCATTTCAATGATGTTCCGCTAGTTAATATTTCATACAGGTTGCTACGTTACCTGTTTTCCTTCATCTATGTACTCTTCTTTAACAAAGCGACTCTTGCCTTTCTTGACGTCTGTTTTCATTTTTAGCTATCAGCCGCAGGAAAGGGAGAGGGGAGGCTAAAGGGTGGGGTTCCTTTGACAAAAAAAGGCATAATCTTTGTTATCGTTTTGCAGCTTTGGACATCACAAATGTTTTCGACTTTTCGTGAAATTCGTTCTTGTCTCTTCTCTTCTCTCCGGGTGTGCCCACAATTAAACATACCGCTGAGTGATGTAGGAGTTCCACCAAGGAGTGTAGAAATGGCTCAAAGAACTTGGAAAATCATAACAGTACCCCACAGTTGATCGTATAGTGAAGAACAGAAAAAGAGACTCAGACCCTGAATCTAGGAACTATTTCACCAGTAAGGTAACGGCCAGTTACATCTGCTCCACATGAGCTTGATCACATTTCAGGTACTGGAGATGCTCTATGGTGTTGCAACGGTACGGTGCTGGTCGCAGCAGTTGGTCCAAGATCGGACGTTCGTGCCTTGCCGGATATCCAACAAAAACTGCAAACTAACGGCGATACTTTCAAAATTTTAGCCGTTCGACTTGTTGATGACAGGCAAGATTGGTTCGACGAAATCTGATTAGAATGCTACAATCAGTGGCTTGACTTCAATATGAAGGCCTCAAGATGGAAAACTACAACGGGAACGGGATTTGGAAGGCTCCTCATTAGATAGCAGTCGAGCTGTAATAGGTGCAGACACCTTATTCGGGGGGACCGATTCTTCAAAATGAGCAAAGAAACCAGTTCAGTGCCCACTGCGTCTGCTAACTATGCACGATAAATTGAACTGCGTTACGCTTTCGTTTTTGAATTCCTCTGAACTTCCATTTAAAAAAAAATGTCGTTGTATACCTGGCCCACATAGGGCGAATGCCGTGCAGCCTTCTTTACAACAAACTATTTGCAACTTTAGAGGAAATCCTCGAGTGGCAGTTTCTTGGCCCTTCCTTTACATGGCCCAATTTTTTCGGATTTGAAATCATCTTCAGATAGATTATTTCCTGAATACTTTAGCAATTTCAGATTCTACCATCTTGATACAGCATTTTGTCCACTGAATGACAAACTTGCATTATGGTTTCCGCAAGCGTTCGATCCAGTCTCTCAGCATAATATGAGCAATTACTTCCAATTGTTACCGGTACGTAGCTAATATGAATCGGTCATCACCCACTACTTTTTCTTTCTTTCAATATATCTTGAGGATTAGCGAAAAACAAGTCGATTTGAGAGAATTGAAAAACTGTTTATGCTATGAGAGCATTTTGTGAATTCAAAATGTCCTGTTTGCAGAGAATAAGATGTATTATCACTGTAGACAAGATCCTAGCACCGAATGTGGGTGGTGGGGTGTGAAGGAGGGGGGAGGGGGAGGGGGGTAGGGACAAATAATGTATCGTGCTGCGTGCTGCTCTAGTACCCCAGTAAGGAGCCGGGTAGTGAACGGCGACGATACCTCCTATACATTTGATACAAAAACGGTTCAATCCCAAATTGGGTCCCAGCACTACGCGCATGTCAATGATCTCCCTGATTATATTGGTCATTTCATATCGTTCTATTCTATTATAACCAGTCTAAAGCAATGTTTAGCTTCAGGCAAGCAAGTGAGCCATCTCGCATTTCGACCCACAAAGCCGTCTTGATGGCTGAAAGATTCAAGTCCTAAGTATGATATAGTTTTATTCTCTTAGCCTGGAAGCAGAATATGAGTTTGGTTTGTTTCTAGTGCTCCAGCGCTGTTTTAATAAAAAAAANAAAAAAAATGTGCTAAAAGTCTTGCAGCGTCTGCGTGCCCATCTTAAATCCGTGATTTCCATATTGCGAATATTGAGTTACGAGAGAGCACTAATCGCGGTAATATACCCTAAAGTTTCTTGAATAGAGTTCTTTATATAAGCAGAGGCTATGCTTTCTTTTGCTGCCTGCGTGATGTAGAATTAGCCCTTTCAATAGGAAGTTTGTGAAAACATTACCGTTGGCAGGTTTGGCGCGACCGCTCGATTCGCTGTTTGGAAAACGTGCTAATAGGCACTCTCACGAAGTCTCCCACAGATTCCTCCACATATGAATAATATTAATGGTCATGCCTGTAGGAACGTACGAATTGGGAGAGTTGCTTTTTTTTTCATCAGTGCTGTAGCAATAGCGGAAAATTTTTGGTTCCTAACGTAAGGCTACCCTACAGAAAAATCATTGCTCAGAATTGAAATTCATATTTTAGCATTGTTCTGGTTCACAACCTTATCCTGATTAGCCACTCAAAAACTATACGTTGAACTTTTTCCCACCATTAGCTCATAAAAACGTATTTAGGTTTCTGAGAGTGAAGCGAAGCGATTTGCCTGCAATGCTGTTGTCATCGGCAATCATGTGATAATGAACGAAGGATGTGAAAGGATCGCTCAGGTTAGTGAATGAACCATTTACGTACACTGTAGAACTGTAGAAACTGGAATGTCCATCCTTCTTCATATGGTCCTGTACCATCTGCCCTTCTATTTTCTGCTACTTTTATCATATTGGTAACACCCCTGTGATAACGTCTGAAAGCGATTTTTTTAAATTGACTAGGCTGTCAGCAGAAAAGTGACGTGCACTTCTATAGATTGATAAATAAATATCGATCGTAATCTTTTTGGAAACAATTTTTTCCGTCGGGTCTGAATAGAACATTATCAGTTCACTTCGAGAACACTCCGATCGCCCCCACCTATTACAAATAATCTTCTACTTCCAGCAATAATCAAAACTTCCAAAAAATCGGCTATTGCTTTGTTTGAGATCAGGTTTCTCTCTAAAGGGTTTCAAAGATCACATGAAGGAAAAGGATGTCTTTTTCTGACTAACATCCGTCCAAAGAAAAACGTTGTAGATATTGAACTTACATTCCATAGGGTATAAGAAGTTTACTGTGAGGAAGGAGGGACAACTTCTGAGCTTCACAATGGTAATCGAGATGACCAGCAATCTCCTCTTCTATCTGTTCTTAAAGGAGAATAGGTGGTGGAATTGTTGGTTATCTGGTGACTTGGAGAGACCCTACTGACTCAGGCGATAACGATAAAAGGATAAAGTTTTGTAGCCTTAATCAAACCTGTCTGAGGGATGCGTCCCGCACTCGACTTCCATTCAGAATCGTAGTGGCGTTATGAATGCGTATGTGGCCCATACAATGGCTTGCGGTGGATAGCCGATGTGCAAGTCAAGGTTGTTGTCCTCACAAACGAGTCTGGTACCAATTAAACGACCCCAGAGGGATGGAAATTTGGTTGGCTTGGCGGATATCAATCCGATACTTGGACACGTGACCACGCGTGTGAGATAGTGGCCCTTGCTTCCCCCTGCTTCCACGATTGAAGGTACAATTCACGATAATTATGGGTAATCCAGATTATGACGAAAAATGGAAGGTAAGGTGGAAAATAGTACAATGAAAGCGGAGGAACTGCGTGAGTCGGCGCTTTCAAGGTGAAAATAGGCTTTGGAAAGTTGTTAAAAAGGGGGCTGGACGAGAATGAGACCAGTAAAATGAGGAAAAGGGGCTGGGGNGGGGCGCTTGGACGGGATATGCAATGTGAGTCATTGCGTACGTGGGGGTCCTGGCGCAAATAACTGACTACCGTAAGCGAAATTTCATTACCTAATAAGCATGAGCGAAAAAACCCCTAGTAACAGCAAAAATGGCTCACTTCTCTCAGCTTCTTGGGATAGGAAACTGGAGAAGGGATCGTGGCAGTAAAAAAAACAACAGAGGAGAAAAGGATGGGTGAAAAACATCGCCTCATCATTCGGCGAACGGCTGATTGTGTGTGGCTTTTAGAACGAATAATTGCAATCTGTATCGCTTCGACACTCGTCTGGCGTGACATCGATTAAGGGGCGGGAAGGCCGCGCGAGTCGGGAACAGGGCTTACACTATGCTCTAACCGTCGAGTTTTTGGGCGTAAGATAGTCCTTTCTATTGCCCTTGGGGGCCGCTGAGTATTCCTAAGGGGAAAACTCAGTAACCAATTTCATCGTGAACCGTGCCTTTGAAGCCACTTGCTCCTACACCACACACCACCTCCGTCCTTTGAAAGACTCAAATGATACTCAAAATAATTTTGCTTCCGCAACAAACACCGGAAGTGAGGTGACATTTCAGAGTAGCGTAACGAAAAATTTCTGCCTTCAATTCAGACTTTTTCATTCATTACCATATGATTTCAGCTTCTCGATCGTCATGGCTTCAAGGTACATTTCGTTCCGATGTCAGAATTTCTCAAGTCCGGTGGATCAGCGAAATGTTTAACACTACGATTGAATCCATAAATCGTTGGACGAAAAGCTTTCCTACGCAGACTAACATTCTTCTGCATACTACAACAATCTTTCTACATTCTGCATACTAACAGCTTTTTCATACAATGAACTGTGCTTGAATATCTTACTGAAGCGAATTATGCAAAAGTTACTGTAAGCGGATCTGATAGCCTCCGGAAACTGGAGTGTATTACCTACTCAACATTATCTGCTTCGCTAATCGTAGACATCTCAACCCGCCATGCATTTAAACTTCATCCAGTATAATGGAAAGAAATGAAATAAATACTCGCTTGTATAAAGATGCATGTGTTATACTGTGTTCTAGCAAGAGTTCCCGCCTTCTGTTGGAAGGGTGTATAACAAATTGAATCCAAAACAATGAAAGATTGCTTCATTGTCAAGATGGTGCACATGAGGTACAATACCCACCCTAATTATTCGAAAAAAGGCGAAAAAGACGCGGATTTGCGTCGAATGAATCGTCGTCGGACACTCATGGTGCTCACCATGAGTGTTTCATTCCACCGCCTGTACTTCATCCAATTTGAACTTCCCAGGTCCACGGGGACTGGAGTTACGATTTCCCGTCCGAGCATTTTCGCACAGGCCCCGCCCCCCGTGGGCGGGGCCGGGAACTGCTACCCACGATGGGTGTTCCCAACTGAAACGAGGATGCGGTCCGGCTTTCGGCTCTTACAGTAATTCCCTGGCTTACCCCTCCCCCC